AGCAACAATAAACTACAGAAGAAATCAAAACTTATCGCTGCTTTTGAGTATTGCATTAATATTTATTCTTACCTTTTAAATGTTCCACGAAGGAGATGAGCTATTGGGAGTTGAGTCCCTTTAATTGAAAAAAACAATGACACAGTGATATTGGCATTATATATATATATATATATATATATATATATATATATATATATATATATACGTTTCATTAAATAATATAGACAAGTGATTGTATTAAAAAATATGGATCAATATTGTGAATTTCTTTCTTCATTCAATGATAATGTTATTAAACTTATCAGACGTTATGAAAAGAATTTACATAAAATAGACAACACTTGTCTATATTATTTAATGAAACGTGTATGAATGAAAAGATGTTGCCGAAATGTATATATATATATATATATATATATATAGATAGAGAGAGAGAGAGAGAGAGAGCTGTCTGTCTCTATATGTGTGTGTGTTTTATAATGATGTTCACACTATACAAGGCGCAAGTAGAGGGTTACAGAATAAGAGGCATACTTTATAGGGATATGTGGGGAAGATAGCTGTTGATTCTAGTCTTGAACAAGTTAAAATTGCAGTGCTCGGGGAAGCATCCTCTTGGTAGTGGGTCCGACGAAGCACCGACTCGAGGAAAGAAGCAGTTCGAGTGGAACTTACATCTCACTAATGGAATACGAAGGGAATGAGGGTGTGTTGCCACAATGTGCGTACCATGACGGGTTTTTCTCGTGAAGGTTAGAACTAGTGAGACTAAAGAATGTAGTTTGTCTGAGCACTTTCCATGGAAATGGCCATAGTGACGCTTTGTCTGTGAGAAAGTGGTTGTAGTGTGTAAAATAAATTGTCACCCACAAGGATGCGGAGACGTTTTTGGACTCGATCGAAACTAGAAAGTGAAGACTGGGCAGTTCCTGTTCGTATATATATATATATATATATATATATATATATATATATATATAAGCAAATGTAAATGGATATAGATCCGACAGAATGAAGAAAATTTGGAAAAAACAAACAAAAATCCTTAAATGCAATTATGTTGTTTTAAAATGAATGAAATGTCGACGTCTGACGTTTCGGTTTAATAAACCTTTTTCAAGACAATATTCATTAAAATACAATTCAGTTCAATTTGACAAAAGACAATGGACAAAAAAACAAGTCTTATCCAAATCAGATAACTGAAAATTTTTAAAATGATCAGCTTTCCGTTTAGCATGGTCACGTTGTCGTCACATGGGCGACGCTTTCAAAACGTATTCCTAAAAATTTGTGATTATTTTGAAATGAAAAAGAAAATGAAAAGAATTCTATTAGGATCTAAAATTTTTATGTGTGAGCTTGTCGAGCATTAATCTCGCTAAAAAAGGGGAAATATTAAAGAAACCAGGTCTAGTATTCACCGTGCGTGAGATAAGTTTTGGATAAGACTTGTTGTTTATGTCCATCGTCTTTGTCAAATTGAACTGAATTGTATTTTAATGAATATTGTCTTGAAAAAGGTTTATTAAACCGAAACGTCAGACGTCGACATTTCATTCATTTTAAACAACATAATTGCATTTAAGGATTTTTGTTTGTTTTTTCCAAATTTTTCTTCATATATATATATATATATATATATATATATATATAAAAACATAATTGTATATAAGGATTTTTGTTTTGATTTTTCCGTATATATTTTTCGTCATATATATATATATATATATATATATATATATATATATATCAAGCATTTTACCACAAGCAAGACGGGAGTGCCACTAATGCGAAGGGGTTAAAGACAGTGCAAGTAAAAAATAAAAGATTGGGTACAAGGGTGGGGGATTGAGGAAAGGATAAAAAGAGAAACGGGGCTCAAGGCATCCGAAGATGACGATTGACATTACATTAAATTTTTGGAAAATTATAGTTATCAGGGAAGCAAGTAAGACGAAGCGAATTTCACTGTCGGGAAGTGCGGTTAAATATGGTTGCAGTACTCCAGTTATTCACTAATAATCGCCCCAAATCCTCTAAATTAATTAAAAATATATATAAATCTGGCTGTTTGTCCCTCTGTGTGTGTATGTGCCTGTATGTATGCGTGCATGTGTTTCTGTGTGTGTGTGCGTGTGTGTAAACAAATAAAATAACTGATATATAAAGTTGCCTGTTTGTCCCTCTCTGTGTGTGTGTGTATGTATGTATGTTTGTGTGTGCGTCTTTGTATGTCTGCGTGTGTGTGTTTCTCTGACTGTATATTCGTATGCGTGCGTGCGTGCGTGTGTGTGTGTGTGTGTAAAATAAAATCTCAAGCTCAGGATTATAAATAATCTGAAAGCCTTAGCCCTGTAAAAAAAAACTGTTTTACACCGTTCATATATATATATATATATATATATATATATATATATATATAAATAAAAGGAAGAGGTTATAGTAGTTCCAACGAGAGAAAAATGTGTATATTAAAAAGAAGAGAGATACCGCAAACGTTTTTGGTTGTAATGTAATTTTTTTTAAAAATTTTATGTTTTTTTTTTCCATAATTTTTCCATAATTTTACTACACGGGTTTCTGATCTAGCGACCGTCATCAGGCAAAGGGTGGCGATTTCCACATATTAAAACTGATTAATTTTTTTCTCCTTTATGTTTTTCGATGTTAAATATTCTCGATACCAGACATTCTCTTTTTATGTGTTAGTAATCCGAATTTCTTTCTTGAACTGGCAATGAAGAGTTCTGTGCGAAGGGTCATAAAACAATTAAGATTGGTCCGAGAGAAATGATGAATTAATTATCTGTATCTTATCTTTTAATGTTTTAATGACACCTGTGTGTTCTTAGATCTATTTCCATTTTCGTGTGTTTCTCTCAGCATATATATATATATATATATATATACTAATTCATCGCAGTGAGACAGTGTATATATACATATATATATATATATATATATATATATATATATATATATATATATATATATATATATATATGTATGTATGTATGTATATATAAGCATTTCACAAAGCAAGTCCGTAGTACCACTTGTACGCAAGGGGTTACAGAGAAAGTAAAGTAACAGAAAAAGCCTGGGTACAGGGGTGGGGGATTGAGGAAAAGATAAAAAAGAGAAACAGAGTTCAAGGCATCAGAAGATGACAATTGACATCAGATTTAATTTTTTGAAAATTATAGTTATCAGGGAAGCAAGCAAGAGGAAGGGAGTTTCACTGTTGGGAAGTGCGGTTAAATATGGTTGCAGTACTCCAGATATTCACCAATGATCGCCCCAAATCTTGTAAATTAATTAAACATATAAAGCTGGCTGGTTGTCACTCTGTGTGTGTATGTATCTGTATGTGTTCGTGTGTGTGTTTCTCTCTGTGTGTGTTTGCGTGTATGTGCGCGTGTGTAAATCAATAAAATATAAATCTTAAGTTCAGGATTATAAATAAGTCACTTTAGTCAGGTTGTGAAAAAGGTCGGTTTTTAACTTAGTGATAGCCGGTCATACCACCGCTGCTTAACAGATGTCACGCAACGGTGGGGCGAGAACGCAAGGGAGGAGAGAAGGCCTCCGGCACGGAACAGATACTACAACCGCAGCATCCATCCCGACGGAAAAAAAAACTCATTTTTCTCCTCTGCCAATCCCTTCGGAAGTATCCGGAAGGAAAGTCACTCCCCACCGCACCTCTGAAAACATTAGCCATTAAAAATCTGTTTTACACCCTCCTTTCTGAAAAGCTCCAGTAACACAGAGAGAGAGAGGAAAGAGAGAGAGAGAGGCAGAGAGAGGCAGAGAGAGAGAGAGAGAGAGAGCCTACATAAAGAGGAGTAATACGGGATTTAATAATCGCTTAAGATGCGAAAATACCAGTCACCATTCAGTGTTGATTTCTATGAGAGAAGTTTTCATTTTTTGCTTCCTGTCAAACACAACGCCTTACCATTCCTTAGCCTCATTCTTGAAGATGGCTATTTTCTTTCTTATTTCTTTCTTGTTTAGTTTTTTTCCTTTTTTCTCTCTTAATCATTTATTTTCTTTCTTTCGTTATTTTCTTTACTTTTTTTATTTCTTCATTAAATTTCTTCTTTCACTTGCTTTCCTTCCTTCTTTCTTATTTTTCTTTTCTTTCTTCATTATTTCTTTTCCTTTTTCTTTCATTTTACTTATTTTTGTTTTTCTTTATTTTTTCATTATTTTTTATTTATTTATTTGTTATTTGTTATTTCTCTTTCCTCTCTTTCTTTCTTTCTTTCTTTCTTTTGTTTTCTTTCTTTCTTTTTTGTTCGTTCTTCTTTATTTATATCCACTCCCTTTGTTTCTTTGTTTCTTTCTTGTTCGTTATTAATTCTTTTTCTGTTCTTCCTTTCTTTCTTTTCTTTTCTTTTTTCTTCGTTCTTGTTTATTTGACCTTTCTTTCTTTCTTTCTTTCTTTCTTTCTTTCTTTCTTTTTTGTTCTTTGTTTTCTTTTCCTAATTCATTTGTTTTGTTTTTTTTCTCTCCTTTTTTCTGTTCTTTTTTTCTTTCTCTGCAATTAATATTTACAATGTCTCTCTTAATGAATCACTGGGCTACAAATATGGGGCCTCCATCAAGGATCTGACTCAAAAGAACAGGAATAGCGAGAAAGAGAGATTGATAAGCGGTGTAAAACGGTGGAATTCCTTTCCTTTGCTTTTAATTTGATTGTATTCAACGACATCTTCGCCGCTTCCATCGCCTTATTAGCCGCCGCCATTCGTTTCCCCCTTTTGATCTGTCATTGAGGCACCGTCAGCTCTTTTCGACTGATCAGTCCTCTTCAAACGACAGTCTACGACATACATTGTTCAACTGTCATCCGACGGGAAAACTCCAGTGTGCTTCTCTCCCTACAAACTTGCCACGAATCCTACGAACCAACAAAAGTACAAAAAAAATCCGTTACCAGAGTTCTTCAGTAGAGGTTTACGTTCAGCCATGACTTATCAATAAAAATGCTAAATAAAGGCCCCTGTGCTTCTTCTTCTTCTTCTTCTTCTTCTTCTTCTTCTTCTTCTTCTTCTTCTTCTTCTTCTTCTATGTACCGTGTCCCTTCAGGTCGTTGGTGATCATTGTCCTCCATAATTACCTGTTCTTTGCATTTCTTTTTGTTATCTCTCCTAAACCCTGTTTTGCCAGTCATTTGCACAAACTCATTCTTCTTCTTCTTCTTCTTCTTCTTCTTCTTCTTCTTCTTCTTCTTCTTCGTGCCGTCTCCATACAGGTCGAGAACGATCACGACTCTCCACAGCTTCCTATCTCTTCTTTTGTCTTTTTATCTATCTTACATATCTATAAGTCTGTCATTTGTTCATCTTTAGAATATTGCTGCCATATATGGTCCGGTGTCCCTGTTAGTTTCCTTGAACTCCTTAATAAGGTCCAAAGAAGAATCAGCAATATCATTGGTGCTGATCTGGCATCTCGGCTTCAGTCACTTACTCACCGCCGCAAGGTTGCCTATCCGTGTCTTTTCTATAAATACTTTCATGGTAATTATTCGGATGAGCTATTCGCTATGGTACCTAGATTTTTTTAAATTTAATCGCAGTACTAGACTGGCACGGTGGAGTAACGGATAGCGGCTCGGATTGAGGAATCGGAGAGCTGAGTTCAAATTACAGTCGAATCTATCATATTCATTTGCGTGCTAATACCCTTGGGGGAAGGTATGCATCCAGCTTCTTCTCCTCCCAGCTACATATCAGCCTTCTTATCATTCTCCTGTAGAACTACCTCGCTATAACCTTTTGTCTTCTCTTTATTTGTGAGGAAATTGTCCAGCTTTCTCTGCCATGTAGGAGGACTGATATTGAATAGAATTTCAACATACTTTTTTTTTGTATTCTCAGCATCCTTCTGAAGAGGCACACTTCCGTTGCCTCCAGTTTTCTGTGGGAAGATAGTTCACTATCATATCGAGGGATTGATATTACACAGTAGTTCAACACACTTCTTTGCTTATACAAAATAAAGATTGCTGGATTTGTTTTAAAGAACTGATCAAAGACTATTGGCTACAATTACTCAAATAATGTACAGTAAGTCCCAGACCTGCAACGATTCGTAGTTACGATGCAGTCTCCGTTAAACTTACGCCCTTTACCTCATACATAAAGCGGCGTGGTTCAATTTCTGGTTGTCCGCCATATTGGATTGTTGTGCATTCATTCTCTCGTTCGTTTATGTTGCAATTGTGGAAATTTATTGCCCCTCGTTATGACCCCCCAATCGTAGTGTACCCTCTTCTGGGGGGCGTTGCTTTAAAGAAAAGGAAAGCTGTCACCATGGAAAGGAAAAGAGACATTGTTAAACGCTCATGAAAGGGAGAAACATCAACGAACACTGGCCGGCGTTGTTTGGCTTAAGTCATTCGACCTTCACTTTAAAAAATGTAGATAGGTGTATACATATTGAGGTTTTCAAAAGATAAGGACATTTCCTTGTTAAACTCTAAGTTGGCGAATTCCTGATAAAAAAAGAAACTACAAGAGTACTACAAGAAAGACAAGATTAGTCATCTCTTTTACCGAGAACCAATGACATAAATATACAAGCAACTTAAAAAATTCATTTTATTATATGTATTATATTTATGAGCACCATATATTTTTTTAGTCTTAATTATGTTAACATATATCATAGAAATGTGTTGTTATTTTATAGAGCAGGGGTTGTCAAACTTTTTCAAGCAGACACCTTTTGTTTTTCTTTCTCCCACAGCGACCCCAATTCAAAATATGTTTGAACTTTTAAACTTGCACTGATGTTGGTAATTAAAATGTTAACTAAAATGTATGAAAAGTTAAGAAATGTTGATCAGGTTCAGAATTTTCCCGCTTGCATCATCAGGTTCAGAATTTTCCCGCTTGCATCATCAGGTTCAGAATTTTCCCGCCTGCATCATCAGGTTCAGAATTTTCCCGCTTGCATCATCAGGTTCAGAATTTTCCCGCCTGCATCATCAGGTTCAGAATTTTCCCGCCTGCATCATCAGGTTCAGATTTTCATCATCAGTTCAGAATTTTCCCTTACCTGCATCATCAGGTTCAGAATTTTCCCGCTTGCATCATCAGGTTCAAAATATTCCCGCCTGCATCATCAGGTTCAGAATTTTCCCGCTTGCATCATCAGGTTCAGAATTTTCTCGCTTGCATCATCAGGTTCAGAATTTTCTCGCTTGAATCATCAGGTTCAGAATTTTCCCGCTAGCATCATCAGGTTCAGAATTTTCCCGCTTCCATCATCAGGTTCAGAATTTTCCCGCTTCCATCATCAGGTTCAGAATTTTCCCGCTTGCATCATCAGGTTCAGAATTTTCCCGCTTTCATCATCAGGTTCAGAATTTTCCCGCCTGCATCATCAGGTTCAGAATTTTCCCGCTTGCATCATCAGGTTCAGAATTTTCCCGCCTGCATCATCAGGTTCAGAATTTTCCCGCTTGCATCATCAGGTTCAAAATATTCCCGCCTGCATCATCAGGTTCAGAATTTTCCCGCTTGCATCATCAGGTTCAGAATTTTCCCGCCTGCATCATCAGGTTCAGAATTTTCCCGCTTGCATCATCAGGTTCAAAATATTCCCGCCTGCATCATCAGGTTCAGAATTTTCCCGCTTGCATCATCAGGTTCAGAATTTTCCCGCCTGCATCATCAGGTTCAGAATTTTCCCGCTTGCATCATCAGGTTCAAAATATTCCCGCCTGCATCATCAGGTTCAGAATTTTCCCGCTTGCATCATCAGGTTCAAAATATTCCCGCCTGCATCATCAGGTTCAGAATTTTCCCGCTTGCATCATCAGGTTCAGAATTTTCTCGCTTGCATCATCAGGTTCAGAATTTTCAGTGATGGAGAAACGTTCGAATATCTTAATTTATTGCCGAAAAAGAAAATGGAAGATTACGTCTGTGGTCCGAAGGGATTATCTTAAATATCTTTTTTGTTGCGATAATGTTTATCGATTTTCTCATTCTGTTCTTTGGATCCGGGATATACGTTGAAAATCTTCTCGTCATCCTGCCAAATAATTCCTGAGTCTTTTGTGTCCATTCTGTTCGTACACCAGGCGACGTCAAACTTTTTCGACAAGTGACCTCCGCCCTTTTTGTTCCTCTTCCTTCCCCTCTGATCCGCATTTAAAATATATTTGAACCATTTTCAAAATTTTCCCACCAGCGTCACCAGGTTTAAAATTTTTCCTCAAAAATAGATTTACGAAAATATATAAAAATAACCCCAATGAATCGAGCAAATAATAAATGAAGTAGGCCAAGCCTAAATTTAGCTCAGTGTCATTCAAAAAACGACCCTCATTCGACCCCTTCACTATCACCGACACGCTGGAACTCCTCACCGACCACTAATGTCTAAGTGGCTTGCATGGGGTGAAAAAGATTAAAAAAAAAAAAACTCCCATCGCCCGTCCTGCCATGCCCGTCGGGTAGGTAGCCCACTGACTTCCCCTGTCCATTTAAAACGTGAGCGATCATGTTTGGTTAAAAAAATAGGAATTTAATTAAAATCTTTTTAGTAAATGTTTTTATGGAATTTTATGTATTTTTTTTAACGTGAAGTTACTTTTTTCTTCAGGACGTTGCGGATCGTGGCTCTCCACAACTTCTTATCCTTCGTAGCTCTAAGTTAAGTAATATTCCCTTATTATTCCTCCTAGTACCTGTTCAATCATTTATTTACACAAGCTTCGTTATTTGCTATTTCTCTCTGCCCTTCTTGCTGTCTAAATACACCCGATGTTATTAAACAGAAACACACATAACCGCTATTAATACCCAACTGTACAACTATACTAAATGATTAAATTGAACAAATATTTGATACAATTATACCAATCAAGCCAAATGATCTTCATAATTGTAAACTCTATTTTACAGTTAGGGGATTGTTACCTGAAAATCAATTTGGAATGATTGGCAAGGAATCAGGTCGCTGTCATAGGTAGCTTAAAATTCTGACATGAATCCAATAGAACATGTTTGGGGGCACCTTGACCGAAGACTTCGAGAACGTGTAACCAAAATCACGTCAGTTGCAACCCTTAAAGAAACATTGCTAAAGGAGTGTCAAAATATGGATCAGACGATTGTTGATAACTTGGATCAAATCCATGAAACATCGACTACAAGCACTGAAACTAGCAAATGAAGGACGTACTCCATACTAGTTCCAAATACTGTTTATTTATATTCAGTTGGGATTACGTAATTAAATTTTGAAATTGGATGTATTTCTCCTGGCTAAAAAAACTTTTCTTAGGTCACTGTACAACCGTACTAAATAATTAAATTAAACAAATATTGCATCATATTTGATGCAATTATACCAATCAGGCCATATGATCTTTATAATCGTAAACTCTATTTTACAGTTAGGTGATTGTTACCTGAAAATCAACTTGGACCAATAAAAAAAAGAGCAATCCAATGCCCAATGAAACTTTAAATAAGTCTCATCAAAATAAGTTCAAAGCGATTTGGATAGATAAATTTTTGATCCTGTTCATTGTCAAGTTCAGTGCTTTTCTTTCATCTCCACCGAAGAATACAACATACATGGACACTAACTAAAATTTAGCTCAGTGTCATTCGCAAAACGATCCTCATTCGACCCCTTCACTATCATCGACCCGCTGAAACTCCTCACCGACCCCCAGGTGTCATTCGGACCCCATTTGACGACCGCTGATCTAGATTTTTACTTTACTATTGCGTTAGTAAAGGTGAGTGAAGTAAGTGCTTTGTTATGATGACCAAAACTTAGTAGCCGTAGATATCCTACGTACATTGCCTCAAAAGTTGCCCGTGAGCTAGAGTTATAGCTGTCTTTATGCTACTTATCCATTAGCTAAACCAATCCAATTACATTTCCTTGAATTTTGTTTTGGTTTCACGCCCTGCGTGGATCTACGTCTTCTACATTCCCTTCACTTATCACTGGTTTCATGAGTATTTCTCGTTATGGGGGACCTTGATCAAGTTCTTTTATTCTCAGTGTACCATGTTTCGTACTCCGAGTCGTCTGAAGAACTTTGATCGTCCATTGATTTCTCTGACTTGCTTTCTTGTTCATATGTAGATACATAGGCATTCGAACTAACTTCGCGTTGAAATGACTCGTAATTTTTTATTCTGTCACGTGACTCAAAGCATTTTATCCAAATCTTTTGGTTTTCAGGTTCTGTGTTCAACAACGATACTTCAGGCGACGCCATTTTGTTATGATGATCTTCGTAGCCGTTGATATCCTACGTACACGCGGTATTTACTCTGTCCCCCCCCACTAGGACGAGATGTGACATAAGGTCTACACGCGGGATAGAAACAAAAATTCCCGTCAACCCCTGCAACCGTCGGTTGCGCTGGCCTCGGTGCGAGCACCGATCCCTCTCTCTGGTGCAATGGGAGGGCGCGGCCTCACGCAGCTGTTCCCCAGGACTGGGCGCCTCTCAGTATTATTTTCCGCAGTTGCCCCTCTGTTCTTTGACAGAGAAGCCCCTGAGCGCACTCTGCTCAAAGAGAGACGCAACTGAGAGATGGTAAGTAGACGTGAACGTACCCAAAATGAGTAAGGTACACGCTAATATCCTACGTACACGGTATTTATTGTATCAAAAAAAAAATACAATTATGGCACAAGGCTGAAAAAGGAGAGGGGTCGAGAATGGTCTTAACTAACTATCCTATACCTAGCCAATCCGATTCACGACCCATTCACTCATTACAATTTCACATTCACCATAAAAACTCGCCCGTCACCAATCAATCCTCCATACACCATAATACCGCATCCTCTCAAGGGAGACCTACAAAACGCGCCCCGTGACATAAAAATTTAATGATACTAAAATATATATAAAAATCTATGATGAAAAATGAGAGGGGAGGGAGATGAACCCAATAACAAACTAAAATATTAACCCAAATCAAATTAAACATAACTGATGTTAGTAGGGCCTGTCAAACCCTCAAAACAGAGAGGCCGCTGTATTCTACCCATTGGACAAAATCAAGAAGCTCTCTCGCTAAGGGAGTGGGAAATGGATAAAAAATCATACGGGCATGGGAAAATATAAAGCTGGCCTAGTCGAGATAAAAAGGGGTCGAAAACAAACTGGGGAGGTTGAGAATCTCATCCTAGATCATAACTAAAGATGTGCCCGGGGACAGGCCGGAAACAACACTTACTGACATTAACTAGGTACACAAAAGCTTGTCGTACCTAAACAAGGGTAGGGCTCCGCAGGGAACCACCTCGATGTGACGTAGGCTTGACCTAATTTCCTACGTACACCGTGTTTACTCATTCCCCCACGAGAATGAGATGTGATACGAGGTCGGATTAATGCGGGGACCCGAGCGCATGCACCCGGGCAGGGTAAAAAATTCCCCTCAGCCTCCGTAACCGTCGGTTGCGCTGGACTCGGTGCGAGCACCGATCCCTCCCTCTTGTGCAATGGGAGGGCGCAGCCTCAGACAGCTGTTCCCCAGGGCTGGGCACCTCTTCAGTATAATTTTCCTCAGTTGCCCCTCTGTCCTTTGACAGAGAAGCCCCTGAGCGCACTCTGTCCAAGGACAGAGACGCTACTGAGAGATGATAAATAATGCGAAATCCCCCAAAGGAGGAATTTATGCGTTATATCCTACGTACACTACCTCAAAATTGCCCGTGAGCTATAGTTATAGCTCTTTTTATGCTAATTACTACTAGCTAAACCAATCACAATGCTTATTCACGGAAAATTGCCGGTATGTTCGGAAAATCGCGTACGACGGAACTTTGTCGTAAGTCGAGGATACATTGAACTCATTTTATTTTATTTTAAAAAATTTTGTATGGGCGCAAAGCAAAACTATTAATATGTATTTTTTACTATCTTATCGGAGTAATCAACATGAAAAAAAAAAAAAAAGATGGCGTAAGTCCAGTTCAAGGAAGTTAAGATTTATATTTCCTGGATGTTTTCTTTATGAATTGACGAATTAACAGAAGTTAGGGAATCCAGAAAGCTAGACTTCTTTTTTTTTCTTTTTTCATATTAAATAAAACCTTATCAGAAAAAATAAATAACAAATTATATGTTTCTTTTCTTCCTCAAATAAACAGCCGATCTTTTTGAATATACACGCATAACTAATGAAAAAAAATCGTAAATTCCGCTTCAAATGAAACCTCTGATAAATAAGTTAAGCTTTCGATTTTGATTATATCATCATGACTAAATACTTCACTTTATTTGATAAATAAAAATATATCTTCAAAGAATATACAGTAGAACCACTGACAACCGGACTAAGGAGGCTTTCCGGATATGAGGAATTGGTTACAAAGTCCGGATAAGAGGGATTACGGATAAGAGGGATTTCGGATATGAGGGATTCCGGATAAGAGGGATTTCGGATATGAGGGATTACGGATATGAGAAACTCCGGATATGAGGGATTCCGGATATGAGGAATTGGTTACAAAGTCTGGATATGAAGGGTTATATTTAGATTAAAATAAAAGAATTGAAATCAGGTTTAAAATGTATTTTCAGTGTTTCATAGGAAACAAAATAATCTAACGGTGAGTGAAATATAACGGAATTGATTTTAAGAAAAAAGAAATAAATTATGTAATGTTAATGAAAATTCATTAAATTAAATTTGCCACGTATGCAAAACAAATAATGTAACGAAGATTTTTTAATCGCCGTTGCATGATGATTCTTTCTCTTCTAATGTCATTCTCAACTTTTTCCGTATTTCGTTTTGTTTTTGTTCTTGAAATTTTTTAAACGAAAGACACTTTTCTTTAACTCTGCGTGCGTTATTGCAATCGTCATAGCTGAATGTTGGCTTTCTTTCCATAAAACTGACAACCTTTTTCAATTTCAGTCTAGGTTTTATCAAAATCACGTTTTTTTTCCTTGAT